TATAAACCCTCGAAGAAAAAAGTGACAAAATTTATTTTGACTAGGGTCGTCCCTAGTCCAAAATTGAAAATGTATTTCATGTTTGGTTCTTTGCTCAAAAAAATTTTAGGGATGTTTTATTTGTATTTGTTTTGAGCACTAGAATATTTATGCAAACTTTCAATCCATTGGTATAAACCCTCGAAGAAAAAAGTGACAAAATTGATTTTGACTAGGGTCGCCCCTAGTCCAAAATTGAAAATGTATTTCCCACTTGGTTCTTTGCTCAAAAAAATTTTATGATGTTTTATTTGTATTTGTTTTAAGCACTAGAATATTTATGCAAAGTTTCAATCCATTTGTATAAACCCTCGAAGAAAAAAGTGACAAAATTGATTTTGACTAGGGTCGTCCCAAGTTCATAATTGAAAATGTATTTCCTGCTTGGTTCTTTGCTCAAAAAAATTTTAGAATGTTTTATTTGTATTTGTTTTATGCACTAGAATATTTATGCAAAGTTTCAATCCTTTTGGATAAACTCTCGAAGAAAAAAGTGACAAAATTTATTATGACTAGGGTCGTCGCTAGTCCAAAATTGAAAATGTATTTCCTGCTTGGTTCTTTGCTCAAAAAAATTTTTGAATGTTTTATTTGTATTTGTTTTAAGCACTAGAATATTTATGCAAAGTTTCAATCCATTTGTATAAACCCTAGAAGAAAAGAGTGACAAAATTGATTTTGACTAGGGTCGTCCCTAGTCCAAAATTGAAAATGTATTTCCTACTTGGTTCTTTGCTCAAAAAAATTTTAGGATGTTTTATTTGTATTTGTTTTAAGCACTACAATATTTATGCAAAGTTTCAATCCATTTGGATAAACCCTCGAAGAAAAAATTGACAAAATTGATTTTGACTAGGGTCGCCCTTAGTCCAAAATTTAAAATGTATTTCCTACTTGGTTCTTTGGTCAAAAAAATTTTAGGATGTTTTATTTGTATTTGTTTTAAGCACTAGAATATTTATGCAAAGTTTCAATCCATTTGGATAAACCCTCGAAGAAAAAATTGACAAAATTGATTTTGACTAGGGTCGCCCTTAGTCCAAAATTGAAAATGTATTTCCTACTTGGTTCTTTGGTCAAAAAACTTTAGGATGTTTTATTTGTGTTTGTTTTAAGCACTAGAATATTTATGCAAAGTTTTAATCCATTTGGATAAACCCTCGAAGAAAAAAGTGACAAAATTGATTTTGACTAGGGTCGCCCCTAGTAGGGTTTGGGGAATCTGTTAACAGAAAACAGAAAAACAGCTGTTTTTCGACAAAAATCTGTTAACAGAAAACAGGGGTCAAAAACAGATCTGTTTTCTGTTTTTCATTTTTGCATAAAATTTACAGAAAAAAAAAATTCTTAATTTTTTGAAGAACTTATTTTTTTTGGATGTTTAAAAGGTTTGAAATCATTATCAAATTTATGGTTAATCATTATTAATTTTGCAATCGAAATTTTAAATTTGTTGAACCTTTTGTAGCATTTACTAAAGTTTAAAAATATAATCAACAATTTTACAAGATATTTTTTTATTCAGAAAGATTTTTTGAATATTTCAAATAAAATATTAGAGCTTATGGAACTTTTACAATGCAACAATGCAATGTTACTTAAAGGAATAAATTTTTTTGGATTATTTTTTGCATTTTTATATTTCATTATATTTTTTTGAGTTAATCAACATAAAAAAATAAGAAATAATAATGCTTAGCTCTAAAATGTATGCTTAACTGCTTATAACCACCAAAAAGTTTCATTATCTTAGAGAAACACTTAGGATAACTCAGTTTATTTCGAATTCTAGAAAAACAGTTTTTCAAAAACAGCTGTTTTCCACAAACCCTTGCCCCTAGTCCAAAATTGAAAAGGTATTCCTTCTTGGTTCTTTGCTCAAAAAAATTTTTTTCATCCAAAGTTTAATTTAAAAAAAATCACAGTCAACTTTTGTTTTGAAAAATTCGTAAGAAAGGAAAGTTTTTTGCTTTTTCTGAAGCAACGGCTGTTTCTACCTTGCCCAAAAACAATACAGCTCTTCTATAGAGCAGCACGGATCAAATGTAAAAAACTAGAAGTCTCTACGATGTCTCGTTATTGAGATTTCTTGCTGATTAACTTGCTTGTTTGCTTGTTTGCTTGCTTACAGAAAGCATATTTTGCGATTTTCTCAGCAATGCCGCAACCAATTTGAAATCTGTTTTTTGCAAAAGATGTGAAATTCAAGGCACAAACTTTTCATCTCTGAACATTTTAAGCTATCTTGCTCCATATCCTCACAAAATTCAAAAACTGATTTTTCAATCTGAACAAAACCAATAGATTCACACGTGAAAACGGTGTGAATATAATTAAAAAAAATCCTCGAGAATTTTATAAAGTTGTAATACTTTCAAAATTGTAAAATGGAATTCTAAAATGGGTTTTAAAATGAGGAAATGAAAACCTTTTCTCGAAAATTTCATCTGAAATGCTCTTAACATCCAAAACTCTTCATGAATTTGTCACTTTGTGTCCTATAAGAATATTTTGTGCATATTATTGAAATAACAAACCAATGATATTTTAAACATATAGTTCAAGCTAAAATCAAAAAGACCTTGAACCTATATTAAAAGTTTGCAAATAATTTTTCTTTTCCACCTTTCAATCAACTGTTATATTTGTGAGAATTATGCTGTTTTTTTTTTGAAGTTTTTATTAATGACTTTGAATAATGTGAACATTTACTACTTGTGCATTTTTAATGATTTTAATGATGTAACAATGAAAAATATTCACAGATATTTAAGTATAGTCACGTATTAGTCAAAATCTCAAATTTTAATTTTTTAATTCTTTTTTTATGAATTTAAACCTTGAATTCATAATCCATAAAAAGTAATCAATAAAAAATTAATGAAATACTGCTTGAAGGTGTCTACCATTGAAGTGCTATGGTTACTAACATATCACATGGGTTCATTAAAATAAATATCATGAATTTATTTCAATAATTTTTTGCTATTCTTTTTCATTTAAAAATATTTATCGATTATTTATTTAAATTAACTCTTTTTTTCATTCTCATCAAGTTACAGCAGCAACACAAAGATACAAACTGTAAATAATAATATTTTACAGAAAAAATTGACACCACTTATTGCCATAGTAAATGCTATGAATGTTGAAAGATCTTTTTAACCACAAATCTAATTTTTTGTGTGATTTCCTTAAGATTTATTTTCCACTTTGCAGATCGAGAGTTTTTTCATTACACTAAAGGAACTGATTATAAGGCTTATTAACAAACAGTCATAACGAAATGAATGTCAATGCTTGGACAGAAACACACCTCCCTTAGTTGGAATCCGCAAGGGAAAAGACACTCACAAGCTCCAAAAGCTACTTGGCTCAGAACAGGGATAAAAGCATGTCATCTCAATGTGCTGACAGATGTATTAAAGATGTGTATTAAAGATGTGATATTTTATTAGATCTTTCACCTTAAAGATTTTTTGGATAAAACACATATAATGCATGCTACGGACACGTCGAAAAATCCGTTATTTTTTGCTTTGAATTTCAAAAAACCGTTTAATTTCCATGAATATTTCTTGCAAACACTGGCAAAACCAAGGCTTGGGCAAACGATTCTTATTCTTAGCTTCATGTTTAGCTAAGTTTAGCTAAAATCATCCAAGAAAAATACTAGAAATTAAATATTTATGCTCAAAATTTTAAAATTGACAAATTTTTAACGTTTTTAAAATATTCAAACACTAGGTCGACTAAATTCAAACATGTCGAAAATATTCGACTCTGAAATGTCCGTAGCATGATATAATGTTTTATGAATATATAATATTCTCCAAAATTATCATTTTCGATCTATTCTTGAAATTTGGCAACTTTTATATTATCTAACATAAGTCAAGCGTGGAAGTTCGTGGCTTTCTACGTAAGTCGTGTTTTTTCAATTTTAATCTTGCTTGGCTGAAACAAATATGTTGATAAATTTTATTTTTAATTTTGAATTTTGACTAGTTAAAATTTTTTGCAAATTATGTTATATTGAAAATTTACATTTTAACATTTCTTGAAAGATTTGGACTAAAGGTTCTAAACCGTTTGAAAATTTTCGCCTTTAAGATAAAATGTTTGAAATATTTGGATTTTTGGGTAACTTGAAATTTCGACCCGTAAAATAAATTAAGTTTTAAGAACCAGACAGATTGAAACCTTTCCTAAAGCAAAACCTTGGATTTATGCTTTCACAGAAACAAAGTGATTTATGGCATTTTTTAAACTTTTAAGTTCAAAAAGTTTGATTTTAATAGTAGAAACATAAAATTTTCATCAGAATATTACTAACCTGATTTCTAAAAAAAAATCTGCAGAAATCCCCAGAACTCTGCAGTCCTCAATAACCTCAACAATCAATAAAACTATAACGAAACGCTTCACAAAAGAAAATCATGCATACGAATCAGCAATATTTTTTTTTGCATTGAAATTAAAAATAAAAAGATCTCAAAATTGAAGATTATTTTGAGGTGATCAACATCCGATTAAAAATGTAATAATGGAAAATTAATTCAACAAGAATTTGAAATCGAACAAGGAAACCTTATTGTTGTTTTCGATAGAAAAATGGGTACTTTTTGCACCAATTAAACGACCAACAAACAATTAGAAAGTGTTAAAAGCTGTTTTTTTTTTCAATTTTAAATTCATTTTTTGTTATTATAAAGAAGAATGGTGTAAGATGGAAATAAATAAAAGAAATACAATATAATAGTATTAGGCAAAATGCAATAACAAAAAATTAAAAAAAAAATTACACTGATGTGGCAGTCGTGCGAAGCAATTAAATTTCACTTTAAATTGAAGTTATTTAGTGTAATTATCATTATCGCAACGTCAATTTTCATTGCCACAAGAAACAATGACATTTAAAAAAGAGCAAGAAGTTCATTTAGATTGAAAAAATGACTCACCTGATTCTGTACTGTGATTGTCAGTAAATGCCGTTGCAGCTCAATGATATTTGTCTCGAGTAGTATGGCAGCAATTTTCTTTGAATCAGGCACACGAATTTTATTTAATTTACTATTGGGATTGCTTATGAGACCATCAAGTCTTCCAATTGCATTTAATTCGTCTTTCATTTGTTTTACAACGCAAGAGGATGATGTTGATAGCGTTAAATGATCATCATTTATTGACGATTTTTGAATTTCTTTATTTGTTATTTGTGGTTTAATAGGAATGGGCTGAAAAGTTGTTGTCGACGATGATGACGATGATGATGATGAAGTTCGATTTTTTACAATTGGCGAAACAACTACATTTGACTGTATATCTTCTGTTTTTGGACGGTTCAGTTTATTATCATTTTGACTATTAGGACTGTCATCAAATAATAAGTTAATATCACGAAGTCGAGACAGTTCTGATTTTTGGCCTAGTGCAAATTTCAGTTGGGTCTCCAATTCTGCTTTGGTCTGTCGCAGTTCATTTATTTGATCCTGGAGCTTCGATTCTTTTATTAGACTTGCAAGAACCTCCGCTTCCATATCACCCATTTTATCCATCAAATGATCACGCTCATTTCGTAATTTCTGCACATCATCTTTTTTCATATAATTCAATTGACTTTGAAAAGATGATGATGAATTTACTGCCGTCGATGACTGACCAGTATTACTATGGTTATTATTATTATTATTAAATTTTTGATTACTTTCATCAGCTAAGCGTGATGTTCGCCTATGTATCACATCAAGTAAATTCCATAATTCATTGTCAGAATTACTACTTGTTGGGTTGGAGGTGAGACGAGCTGTTAATGCACTTGAAATGTTGTTACCCTATTTAACACAACAAGATATTATTATATGAATATGTTATAATTGAGTGAAAGGTCGTAACGAATTGACTTTAATCAAAAAAATTATGAGAAATTTTTATTATCATTACCTGAACACCCGCTGAACCAGCTGTTGATGAAGCGCTATGCGCTTCTTTTGAGGAACTGGTTTCAGTTGAAAAACCTGAATCCTGTATGACACTTCCATTGCCTTCACCACTCTTTGGTTCCTTTTTGCCACTATGTGAATTACTACGACTTCTTATTAATAGTGATGATGACTGAATTTCACCACTTCCTTCTTTGCTATAGTTGCTGTTTAGTTTACGTCGAACACGTATCCCAGGCTCCCATTCTCGTCTAAATGAGCAATTCAATAAAGAATTATTCATTAGAATAATTCAAAAATATTTATTGGTTTCATCATAATTGCTTACCTTGATATTATCGAAGATGACTGCAGTCCTGTAATTGTACTATTTGCGCTCGACGATGCCATTTTGTGTTTGAGATCAGGAAAGGTTTCAATAACCAAATCACGAAACTCCAGTAAAGCGCCGACTTCATTCTGCAGTTCCTGAAGCGATTTGGTTTGATCTGTGTGATGATGATAGTTGTGGTGATGATGAACTAGGTTATTGTGATGATATGGACCGTGAGCTGGTGTTCTTGGCAATACATCCATGCCAGACTCCAGTGCCAATAAGTCGGTCTACAAAATAAAAACAAATGATATTATTAGTCAAATTTAATCAATTTTTTTTTGTGTTTTTCTTGCACAATTCAATCTTTTAATATGTCTTATGTTCGCTTTTAAGAAGGAAGGAGAGGTCTAAGATTTTTTACCATTTTAATCATAGAAAAGAAATCATAAGAATTTTATAACAAAGGAAGGAAGGCTGGGTTCAAAATTTTCATTATATAGGGTTGATGTAGTCAATTTCATTAATAAAAAGAAAAAAAAAAAAAACAAAAAAAGTTTTCTGCACACAAGGGAGCCAAATATTTTATCCATTGTAGAAGTCGTTTGTTTGTCCTATACACTGATACAAAAATATTTTATGTGTCTGCTTACAAACCAGCCTTTTTCAGCTTATAAGATATGATAGTATGTTCAATTGTCATAATCATTATATGATGAAGAAAAATATATATTTAATAGTCTTTGTGATTTTCTTGTAAAGCAGCACTTTTATTATTCATAAAATATATATATATATATTTATTTATCTCTGTCAAATACTCTCCGTTGCAATTTTGTAATTGCAGCTGGTACAATTCAAGATTTCCAATTTTCATCGAATATTCTTCACACTTCTTGCAATCTGCTGGTTTGTCGTTTTCTAATTGAATTGACTTGTTTAATTTATCGACCGTATATATATATATATATATATGAGATTCAGCGTTCAAGAAACATTAGAGATAAAAATTGTGATATATAACCACATTTTTGGTGATTCTTATAAGTACATATTAGGAACATTGACTTTCATAGCTTTATTTCATACATTTCGATGATCTCCTAAAAATAATTTTGTGGAACTATAAATCCTAGAAAAAGATGATAGGGAATTAGCAGTGTAATGCATATATGCATAACGGTTACTTTCATTGATTTATTTCCGCTTTTTACTAAACTAATAAATGAAATATTTAAAAACAAAAGAAAAGTACCATAGTTATGCATATGAAAATGTTCGACTAACATAAAGAAAAACTTTTTATTGTTTTGTTATAAATTTATTTTCAATCTTTTTTCATAACTCATCGCACGACCTGGCACCGTTTATTGATTTTGCTAATCGAAAAAACTGGAATTCTCCGTTTATATTCCAAATGTAATAAAAACATTTAAGTTAAAAAAAGTGTGTTTGAATGTTGTTGAATCATTTCGGTAACAATAGAAAATGCACAGTATAGCCTACATTGCATTTTTATTATTATTGAAGCTCCAAGCCCATTTTCATTATTATGTATTGCACAACTTTTCACTTAGTTTTTTGAGCTCTTTTATCTTTACAATTTAACTTTGCTGCTGTATTTTTCTGCATTGTGCTGACTGTGGCGTTTTTAAGCATCATGTTTGCATTCAGCAAAACATTAATTTTGATTATAAGTTCAATGAGATAATTGTCACGTTAAAACCTATATCCTTTGCAAAGGCAAATAAGGTCAAAGTGCCTTTGTAACAATACTGCGCTAAAGATCCAAGAACCAATTGTTTTTCAATTTTCTTCACAAACTTTTTAACCATATGACTCACCTGATATTTTTCTTTATCAAATACAACAGGCAATAAGCGAAAGATTTAGAAAGCATGAATAATTGTATTATGTCGCTGCTCTCATCATATCAATAGTTCATTTATACATTTGCTCCATTAAATTCATTGGTTAGATATCTGCAACAATAATAAGCTAGTAAAATGTCTGATTTTAAAGTTGCAATAGAGCGCACATCCTGTTGAGAGAATGGTTCTGCATCAAAAAAACATATGATTAGTTTTATAAATTCATATGTCAATTTAAATAGGAGCTTGAAAGTTGATCCGAATTTAAAGTAGCGTCAACTATGTTTTCTCGAAATCTCGGTCCCGAAAATTTTCCCTGAACAAGTATTGTTTTTTAGCATTTTTCAAAGATTTTAAAATTATGTAAGGTTCAAAAAAAATTTCATTTAGTCGATTTTTAAAAAAATTTAAAAAAAAATCAGACTTAGTGATCACTTTAGCAGTATGTTGATTTTCAAAACGAGCCATATTAAAAACGATAATTCTGTTATGAATGTTTGCATAGTTTGAAAGAAAAGAAAAGTTAAAAGTGAATGTTTGGTTCTGTTATGTGATAGCTGTTAACATTATTAGAAAAAATAAATAAAAAATACGACTTACGTAGAAAGCCACAAACTTCCACGCTTGGCTAATGACTACAATAAAAATTAGCAAAGCAGTTGTCGAATCTTGTTTAATTAACATTAAAACAGTTCTTATATAAACAATAGATTCACACGTGAAAACGGTGTGAATATAATAAAATTATATTTCCAAACATAGTTGATACGTATTGATATGATGATTTCAATGTGTGTGTGAAAGTACACTTTGATGGGAGTTTTAGCTTACTTTCTGATATATTGACAAACTTTAAACTCATCAAAAACTGAATTTTTTAGAAACAAAGTCATGTCAGGGCTATTGGAAACGATATATTTTGGGGGTTTCGAATAAAAGGCTAAGTCAAATTGTAAAAGTGTATAAATATATATAGAAAAATCCAGCCTTAAAATACACACATTTTGATATTCTTTGTGATTTTTTAAAATGAGTCCTTTATATGGTATCAAAAAGCGTGTTTTTTGTGAAACTAATAACTTACACGCTTTTGCGTGAAAATTAATGTGATTTGTGACTCTTTAAATTGATATTGAAATAATTCACACAGAACGGTAATTTTTTCAACCGAACCTTCAAATCAATGTGTCAATACATGCCAAAGTTATAACAAAAAAAGTTGAATTTCTATGCGATGAGGACTGACCCATTGATTGGAGGATTGTTAATTTAACTTTACTGTGGACCAATCATTCTGATTTTTTGACTAGCTCTTGCCAGACTAAGCACACATAAGCCGAAAACTGCATCAAAAATGTTTAAACTGAAGGAAAGTGTTTTTTCCTGATAGGAAAATGCACTAAAAAGAATGATGACGAGTTTACATCGTTTCAATTCCGGAAGAATAATATCATACTTTCTTTCATTGCATATGATTCAGAGAAGGGAAAAAATATTGAAATTATGAGCAAGATTGTGCTGCATTATATGCAACATATGTTTTAAATTCAAATATTTATAGAATATGTTGTTATAGAGTGAACATACTCTTCTGTGTGCATTTCCCAAGCATTGACGATTGAATAATTTTTTTTAATTTCCTTCTTCATATTTTCCGTTCCAATTTGTTGTTATTAAGTAACTTTGAATAAACTGTTTAAAATTTATTTTTTAAAAAACAATTTTCGTTAAAGGAACAAAATGTTTAGCGAACACGAAAAAAATATAATGTTTTTGAAAATAAAATAATCATTCACTCATTAGTTACATCAGTAATTTTCATACTAAACTGATTCAGCATCTTTTTGGTGATCTCTGAATTATAAAAAAGGGTTTAAAATACATAACCATATATGACTTTTAAGATTTAATATGTGCTTAATTTTTGAATTTGGAATATACTGCTATTTTATTCACTTTCGTTAAACATGAACTTTATCACGTTAAACATGTAATTTATGAGCACTCTTGTCCATTCTCAGAGAGATCTTTTTTCATTTTATGCCTTACTTTACCAAATGATGAAACTGAATGTAATCAAAAAGAAAATTTTCTTTTTACAATACCGTTAAACTTATTTTTTTCTCTGTGTTCATCATTATTTTACGAAAAAATCAGACATTCATTCCCTCAAAAAATATCAATTAGCCATTTGATAAATGAGCTTATGAATTCTTGTGAAAATAATAACCGGTAATGAATAATATTCTTATAAAATTATTATACTTTCCAGCTCTCAAAAGTTATTGTTAAAAAATGTGTAAAATTAACTTTTGAAAATATTTAAATTGGTAAGATTCTTGCTAAATTCTTTTCATCGCTATCATGTTAAAGACGTAAGTTCTTGGTTTTATATGTAAGGTTTTTTCTTGAAAGTTTTTAATTATTTCGATAATAAATTCTTGTCATTTCAATTTCTTTAGAGTATTGAAACATAGGTTTCTTAACAAATAACGTCTTTTAAGTCAGGACTTCAATTTAAAACTAGTTTTTATTTTTTTTTTTGTTTTTTTAGCGCATTTTTGAAACTTGTTTCTAAAAGTTAGCTTAATATCTCACTTTGTCTGTTCGTTCGGGCGGAGAAAAACTTTTTAACTAGACATCGTAGAGAGTTCTAGTTTGTTTTATTAGCTCAGGTCCATTGTTTTATTTTCGGGAAACGCATTTAAAAGTCTTGAAACAGTGTTTTTGTACTATAATTAATTATATTTATATTTCATATGAAAAAACACGTGATGAGAGCGTTTAAAAATTCGAATTTATTTCTACCGTTGAAAAATTTTGAATCTCTTTTGAATAATTTTGAATAATACATGCTTTTACTGTAACTTTTCGCAAGATACTTTCAAATGCATACGACCGTTACAAATTTTGAGCTTCAGAAAACCGTTAAATGATAAACAATTTATATAGGAGAGTGAAAGATATTAAATTGATAAATATACTATAATTAATGATTTTTTGTGTATCTTTTTGCGGGAAGCTTTCAAAAACTTACTGGCCGTTAGAAAATTTGAATCTCAAAATACCGTTAAATGATCAACTTTTTATATATGGAAATTCATTGAAACAAATTATTAATTGTACTATAACTAATGTTTTCGTAGTGCAACTTTAAGCGGAAAATTTCAAATTATTTTTTTGACCGTTAAATAACAAAGCCTTTCTATATAAGCATTCATTGTAATTATTTGCTAATTGCACTAAAATTAATGATCTTCTAATCTTCTAATGATCTGTAAATGAACGCAAAATAAATAGATAATCAAATACTGATCGCTAACACAAAAATGCGCTTAAGTCCCTCGATCAATAAAACGAGGACTTCTGTAATTTTTTTTTACTGGTTCTAGTTGGATTTGATTTTAGTAAAATTTAAA